CGTTAGGCATAGCTCGACACATCGGGAGAATTAATTAAGTTGCTGTCACACATGATAAGCCATCAACGCCTGGCGCAGATATTTACCTATTTGCGGAAATAAGCGAATTGGTGTCCATACTGCCAACGCATAGTTGTGGAAGACGATTAGTAGGAATGCTGGATTTGCATGAGAAATTGTCAGGGGAGAATTTGTGTTCACCAATGTAGGCTGCTATGTGTACGCATATATTTAATGCTATAAAACTGAGTATTTCGATACTAGATAGTTTTTATAAACAGTAGATATAATTGTAGCGCTATGAGCTTTCTACAAAGGTGGTAATTAATTAGTTTTTCACAGTCGAGGTCCGATTGTTGTTCACTCGTATCGTCACCACTAGTTCTCTGATACTTCTGGATTCACTGTATTTGTCTGTTGCCGCTAATGGCTTGTCGCATCTGTCGATCAGCCAATTATCTCGGGGAAATAGGCCGCACCTTAGCTGCCATAATAGATTATCACGAGCATGTAGTCAGCCATTTAATCCATCATTAATCACTTCTCGCGGTTACGAGGCGTATGAATTTGCCCTATATCGGATTTATTCCTCTGATCTAACCATCTCCAACCAGGAAATATATGTCGCATCGCTTCAGGTTCAATGCAGAAATTTGCTATTATCTTACCGTGACCACTGAGTTCATCATTCTGGCTCCTGAGCTACGTTCATTTATGTGTCGTCCAACCATGAGGACCAGTACCGGGGCATTCCTTCAGGCCTTTACTACACCAGCCCATATCACCTAACGACCTTGAAAAGCAGGTGCCACAAATCCTTTTGTGAACCCAGGTTTAAAGAACACTTACGCACAGGCAGACCAGACACACGCACACGTTGCAGGCCCGATCTACACCTTCACTTTTACCGTTAACTACAGTTTCCACCCGTTAGCTTATATTGCGGTCGACGACAGAATACCTTTGCGACTAGTACTATGAAGGAAGACCAATTGAAATGCCTAAGGGATAATAACTGTAATAAAAATTATTACTCCATTCTTGCCAAAATAAAAACATTAAAACTCATCCCATTATTCGTTATCTCGGCTTATAGAATTGTTTAGATAGAAGTTCAAAATTCAACATATAGCTTATGTGATCAAACGATCGTCAAATAAGTGTTAGAAAATAAATGCACCACGTAAAGGTTCCCCTTTCGCAATTTGCTTGGATAGAACAGTGACTTACAACATAATAAGAGGGTGGTAACCTGAGTGAATCCCAATACGGCAGCGCAGTGTCCGTTATTTCTGCCACGAGTTCTCGTCATAATGACCGCATTTATATTCGCTCGAAGCTGCCTTCTCTGCTTGCCTATCCGCATCAGCCGTCCCATAGCCACACGTGGCGATCTCCTCCGCTAGCGTGTTTTGCTTTGTAGATTACGCCTCAGTACCTGCCCGGACGCGCAACTCATATAGCTGTCCTCGAAATAAGTCTCCACTTTATACACGTCATACTAGTTGCCACACACTTGTCAAAATTCGCTACCGTGCGAAACAATAGAAACGCGAATTCTGTTTTATAGCTCGCGTTTATAGCCATTGCCATGGGCGTGTATATCTTGGCGATGTGTGAATGGGGTTACTACATTAACGTCATGTGTTTAGAGTGAGAAAAAACACAGTTTCAAGCAATATACGCCTGAGCATGCTAGTACCCCAGTCAGCGGAAATTTTTTCAACCTACGCAGTTACAACAACGCAGTTTGCTACCCTCACATTAATTTCATACTCAAAACACTGTCTGACTGTTGGTTTTTAATCGAATGCCTATACAGTACAGTAAACTTTACCCCGCGATATAAAGAACCGATTTAAGAAATCCTCCAGGCTGAAATTGGACCAATAAAGCACCTATTATATAAGAACCTCTTCACTCAGCCTGTATAATAAACAGGTTCTTATATTTTAAAAAAATACCCACAAATTGAGCAAACTGGGAGCCACCATCCAAGTTTGTGTGCTACACCATTGCGAAACTAACAACATGTAGTTCAACAAAATTGTATTAAGAACCCCGTGATTTTCTGTTTTAGGCCTGAAGTGGTTCTTAGTATAATATATATGGTACTTAGTGAGAAATCAGCCTTGAAGCCAGGTTTCGTTAAGAGGCTCTCACTTTGGGGAGGAGATAATTGTGTACATATATCGTCTATCTATTGATATAGTTTCAGAATATTCACCAATCCTCCCCTCAATCTCTGATTCGTCAAAATCCGCCCCACAACATATACTGGAAAGAATTAATAGGGCAAACCCCTGGAAAATTCCTCAAATACCTACCTGTGAGAGCGTATTAAATATTATCTACTAATCATATGTTATATACGATATGTAATAACACAATTATCCCCCCCCCCAATAAGACCTCTTTAAGAATCCTCTCAGGCTGATTTCTCAATATACCATTATATTAAAGAACCACTGCACCTAAAACAGAAAATCACGGTTTTTATGCAGAGTGTATTAACTGTATTGCGTGGATGTTACTATATAATTACTAAACACATCACACACACAAAATCCAATACTGTGTCTCTGCCATACGCTGTTAGCCTGCCCACGCGCCGATTGCCAGTTAATTGTAAACACCGTAATATTATCTGCGAGGTACATAGAGAATCAGAGCTAACAAGCCGCATAAGAAATACAACGCTAAGGATCATGATCGTATCGCTGATGATGCCATGTGCTAAACACATATACGCACGCACGACGCACCGGCAACCATCCGCACGCTGAATGCACGGCAACACATATATACGCGGACGCGACGACAGCGCACACGTAACCAGCGCCCCGACAACACGTCCACGCCACGCACACTCATCCCCCCAAACACAACCATTAACGGATGGATGGCATGGAAAGTGGTATGGATGGGCATGGATGGATGGTATGGTCATGGGAAATGTATGATGGCTTAAGATGTATTCTACTTTTCAAGCCGGAACTACGACTATACTTCAAAAAGCAAGAGGACAGGTTGCAACATCTGAAAACACAGCTGAAGGCTTAAATCTTCGGTGACTCGGAGCAGACATGCTGTGACGCAGCTCGAGGACCAAACCTTGAGCGCTGAGATGGAAGAAGCAAGGGTGGCATATGGATCAGGTGGCTATCGAGAAAAGCAAAGAGAAAAGCCATCGTGAAGGTGAAATCTCAAGTATGACTGCGAAGAGCGCTGATTCTGTGAAGAGTTTTAGGAAACGTGGTGCGAGGGCCATGGAGGAGCTGGAAAAAATGTTTCGCATTGAGGAAAGGGACAAAGAAGATTGCATCTGAGACTATATGGAGGATGGATATATGGATGAATAACGATGATAACCAGCAAGTGTTGAAGCGTCATTGAGCAGGGGATATCGTATCACCAAATGCAGGTGGAAGAATAATTAAAGGAGGCTATCCAGGGCTGGCCGAAGCTCTCGAGAGAACAGTTGCGGAGGGGAAGAGTGAGGGGGATCGTAAGCAGAGAGTGCAGTCTCGCCTCCAAGTAGAGAGAGGCTAGCGTGCTGATGCTATGCGGTGAGCCGGTGGCGTGTGCAGGAGTGCCTGGACTGGCATGAGTGCGCCTGGAAGAGCGCAGCGGCGCCAGCCAGCGCCCAAGTAGAGCTAAACATAAGAAGCGCGCGAGCTGAATCTGGCCAAAGCTGGCCGTCGTGATCTTGAAGCGAACAGGCTATGCAAAATAAGCCACCGTATCTGCCACGCGCAAGAAGCAGCAATGCGATAGTCGACTATGCTGAGATGTCCGCAGTGTCATGTGAACAGATCGATCAACTGCAGAAGGCGAAATCCAAGTATATATCGCGTTTTAAATCTCTTACTTGTTGAAGAAGATACAAGTTAACATTTATGTAACCTATGTATATTATCCTCGGTGCGTACGGACGGAACGACGGGATGTCTTATCATTTATGTATTGTTGCTGTATTACTAAAAACGTTTCTTTCAGAATTGAGAAGGAAAAATCCCACCTGAAAGCCGAACTTGATGATGCCAAGGGCAATTTGGACCATATTACAAAAAACAAGGTACTAAAGGCTGCGTTTACTTGTAACTGCGTTTACTCATTATCTGTAGAAAAGAACACGACAGCGAAAAAATTATTAATTAAAGCTATATTGACAATTATATAATTCTAAAATATTAAAGGTTA